CGAAGGCATGCATCAGATTCAAAATCTTCGTCCTACTGGCTTCTCATTGTCTGAATTGGACGATGAATTGACATGCATGGCCATGATTAGGGCGCTTCCTGATCAATATGCCCACTTCACTTCATCTCTACTAGGTCTGGGCACCTTGGACAAGACCCAGCTCAGGGATGCTTTCCTTGCTAAAGAGGTCAATCGCTGTTGTCGTGCTGAAATTGATTCTGCCTTGCATTCTTCGTCTACCACTGCCAATAGCACCTGCACCCATCCTAACTGCCATCATTGCAACTAATCCACCACCTCTACTTGCGTTCAGTGTGATTTCTGTGGTTTACTTGGTCATACCCAAAACAAATGCCACAGATACATTGCTAGTCGCCAACAGGCAGTGGAGGGTGCTAAGAATCGCTACAAGTGTGGCAATAAGGCTCAGGCAGGCTCCAGCAACTCTCAGAATACCTCTCAGCAGCCCAAATCTTCGCCCAACAATGCCAATTCATCTACTGTGGTCACTGAATCAGCTGGAAATGCAAGTCTTTGTTCCATTCATCCCTCTGATCCTCATTGCCCTCTCCAACTTGATGCTGACATTGATTGGAATGCAAACACAGGCGCCACTTCTCATATGACACCTCATCGTCATTGGGTGCACCACTACACCCCATATCGTGTGCCAATCAAGCTGGCTGATCACACTGTTGTCTATTCAGCTGGTGTTGGTACTGTGGTGTTTAATCCTGTGATGAATGGCAAAGTGGCTAGGGCTGTGGAATTCTCTAGAGTGCTCCATGTACCAGATCTTCGAAATAATCTCCTCTCAGTCTTGTATTTAACTCGTCAAAGTGGTTTCAATGTCACTATTTCGTCTCATTCCATGTCCTTTATGCGTGACAACACTCTCTTGTTCACTGCAACTATCAATGACAACAATGCAGCATTCCTTGATGGATCTACTGCTGCTTGTGTTGAATTGGGACATTTTACTGCGACTATACCACTTGATTTGATGCTCTGGCATCGCAGATTGGCTCACCACCACCATGCTGATGTCAAGAGACTGATACAGAGAGATCTGGTCACTGGGCTTACACTGGAATCCAAGGCTGCTCCTGATCCTGTCTGTGAACCGTGCTTGTCTGGCAAGATGCATGCCAATCCATTCCCCTCATCTGATACTCGCTCTGCTCATCCTTTGGACCTCATCCATTCTGATGTACACCAAGTCTCTTCCCCCACATTCTCTGGTTATTGCTACTGGGTCACCTTCATTGACGATCACAGTCGATTCCGTGTTGTTGTGCCTCTTAAGGCCAAGTCAGATGTCTTTGATGCTTTCAAGAGATTCAAGGCTTATGCTGAGACTCAATTGGAGCGTAAAATCAAGGCTCTGCGCGATGACAAAGGGGGAGAGTACATGTCCAAGGAATTTGAGCAATTCACAGATGACCATGGTATTGTCAGACAGCATACCACCAGGAATCTGTTACGATCTCTATTGGACATTTAAGGACTACTCATTTCTTTTTACTCATCGGTTATACCATCGGACCGATGACTCATTTCCTTCACGTACACTTCCGTTCCTCTCGCATTCACAGTACCTATTATAGTACTTAGTCTTCAACAAACGGACCTGCCCTAGATAGGACCTAACTCCTATCACCGATTCCTTTCCATTATAAATACCATGTAATAGCAGTAGTATTCTCCAATACAATTCTACGCAGTTTACACTTACAAAGCTAGACTCTTAAGATCAGACTTCTATTCAGAAGAAGACCAACTCCCATTGGAAAACCTCCACTCAGAACTACGTTCTTGAACTTGTCTTCGGATAAGTCTCTTTACAAACCCCGACGAACCCTCAGACTTTGTTAAGCACTTTGTGCATAACAGAATCATCCTCAGCAGAATGGTGTGGCAGAGCGAGCAAACAGACTTCTGACTGAGCGTATCACTGCCATGTTATCAGAGTCTGCATTGCCTAACAGCTTCTGGGGTGAATGTCTGTCCGCTTTGGTGCATGTCTGGAACAGGTGTCCCACTGATGCAGTGGCCTATGCCACTCCATTTGAGTTGTGGTATGGACGCAAGCCTGACATGTCTCACCTTCGCTTTTGGGGCTGCACTGCCTATGTGCATGTGCAAAAGGACAAAAGAGGCGTCTTTGGCTCTCATATGGAGAAATGTGTGTTCATTGGTTACCCTGAGGGGTACAAGGGATGGAAATTCTACAATCCTACCACCAAGCGCAGTGTTATCTCTGAGAGAGCTGATTTTGATGAGCGCTACTTCCCTGGCTTGAAGAGGTCTTCTGACAATGTCCCGCCTCCACCTCCCACTCCACCTTCGCTATCCATGCCATCGGGCCTGATTGAGGATGTCCCTGCACCAGGTCCAGGGGGAGATATGGGCCCACCAGCTGCGCTTCAGCAGCCTCAGCCATTGCCTGACAATGGGCCTCATTTGGACCTTGATGCAAAACCACCTGTGAATCAACCTCCTGAGCTTCCAAATCACCCTCCTCATCGCTCACCTTCTCCTGACTTGCCTATTGCACTGAGACGCCCTGTAAGGGCTAGGAGACCACCTAGACCATGGTGGCTTCAACACAGACAACCTACTCCTGCCATTGAGAGTGATGACAGTGATTCTGAGGCAGTTGATGATGAAGTGGCACACTTTGGAGACTCTGCTGAGCCTAGGTCATTTGCAGATGCAATGAAGCGTCCTGATGCAGATAAATGGAGAGAGGCAGCCATGGAAGAGCTTCAAGCTCATAAGCGCAATGGTACTTGGTCACTAGTGGAACTACCTCCTGGAGTTAAGGCTATTGGTGGCAAGTGGGTCTTCAAGATTAAGTGCAACTCAGATGGCACTGTTGAGCGCTACAAGGCCAGATATGTGGCCAAAGGTTATAACCAGCGCCCTGGCTTTGATTTCCTCAAAATATTTGCACCTACTGTCCGCATATCATCCATCAGAGTTGTCCTTGCCATTGCAGCCATCCACAACCTCCATTTGCGCTCCATTGACATTTCCCATGCATTCCTGAATGGAGTCATGGATGTCAAGGTCTACATGCATCAGCCAGAGGGATTCCATCAGGGTCCTCGCAATCTTGTTTGCCAGTTGGACAAGGCCATCTATGGGACAAAGCAGGGAGGCAGAATGTGGAACCAGAAGATGCACACTGTGCTTGAAAAACTCGGATTCAAGCGTACTTATTCAGACTCTGCCATCTATGTTTTTAACAGAGCTGATGTGCACATTATCCTGCCTGTCTTTGTTGATGACATGACACTGGCATCCACTTCTACTTCTGCACTTGACCAAGCTGTCAAGGACCTCTCCCTGCACTTTAAGCTTCGTGATCTTGGCCCTACTTTTTACCTACTTGGCATTTCCATCACTAGAGACCTAAGTGATCGCACCATCTCCCTCTCCCAACATCAGTACACTCTGGACATTCTGGAGCGCTTTGGCATGAAGGACTGCAAGCCTGTGTCCACTCCCATGGATCCTGGTTTGCGCCTCACCAAGGACATGTCTCCCAAAACATCCAGTGATGCTGCTTTGATGAAGGACATTCCCTACCTTGCTGCTGTTGGTGCTCTGATGTATCTGACCACTACCACTCGTCCTGACATTGCCTACCCTGTTGGAGTCCTTGCCAGATATAACTCTAATCCTGGTCTTACTCACTGGAGCGCTGTCAAGCACTTGTTCCGCTACTTGCAAGGCACCCTTGATCATTCCCTTGTCCTTGGTCCTGATCCCAATTCCACTGAACTCTTCATCACTTTCTCTGATGCCGATCATGGTGGTGACAAGGACTCTGGTCGTTCTACTGGTGCCTATATTGTCAAGATGGGATCTGGTGCTGTCTCCTGGAGCTCCAAGCTTCAGAACATTGTTGCTCTGTCCACCACTGAAGCAGAATACATTGCTGCTGTTGAGGCCGGCAAAGAGATTTGCTGGATGCGAAATTTGTTGAAGGAAATGGGCTATCCTATCACCTCTCCTTCCACCCTTCATATTGACAACCAATCTGCCATCTCTGTATCCAAGAACCCTGAGCGCCATGGTTGGATGAAACACCTTGATCTGCGATGGCATTGGTTGAGAGATGTTGTTGACTCTGGGCAGATTGCTCCTACCTTTGTTCCCACTGCTGAAATGCCTGCAGACTTGTTGACCAAGGCTCTTACCAAGCCTAAAGTGGAAGTGTTCAGGAAGATAATGGGACTTATTAGATCAGGGGGGAGCTGATGCTTGGGAGGTGCAGCATCAGGGGGGAGTGTTAGTTTTGGTGATTTTGCACCTTTGTGCTACCTATATATTTTCATTCCTTTCTCTATCTATTCTTCTATCATTCACTATTGATTGTGTTCTCTATTATTTCGCCTTTGTGGCTGCTTTGTTTACCTTTGTTTACAAAACTTCGGACAGTACTGCAGAGTCCAATGCTTCCTATTCTCTAGTTACTCACATTAGACTCTAGTTCCAGTCCCTGATTGCTCTCAGCAAGTGGCTAGACACTTCCTTCAAGCTTTGTTCTTAATAGGACTCACCAAATACTCCTCGGTATTGTCGATTTTTGTGTGCCACAAAAGTACAACCAAATCACCAATGACACTCCAAGCATCAAGGACATCTTGTGAAACTAGGTCATAAATCATATAAAACATTACCTGGGCAAGACTTTTAAAATGTTTGCCAATAAGGCTGCCCTTGAATCGACAGATATATCCTGCCCCAAGCTGTACCGTATCAAGGTCATCCTTGTTGATAGATTCGAGCCGAGTCTGGAATTTAGTTAGTAAATGTGACTTCTCGAGGAGCCATACTGTTTGCCCCCAGAAATACTTTACAACACCCAATAATATGGTGTGCAAAATCTCAGTGGGAGTGTCTTGATGAATATCAACTGCTGGCATCCCTAGAAGTGGGTTAATGTGATGGACAAGTGTAGAACCCTGCAGTAGGGTCTCAAGCTCCTGTCAGAGTCGCTGGCACACTTCTGTTTCAGGTAAAGCAGGCTTCCCTGGTTCACGCTTATGCAATTGCTTGCCCAGTGCAAGCAATTGTTGAACAATTGAGGCGCTAGTGCTGTTGCGTATCCCTGTTGTCGCTGCAGTTTTCACTTTATTGGTTCCACCGGACTCAAGGGAACTATCCACTTGCCGGTGGATTTGCTCTCGTGTCTCTTCTGGGGTCCGAGGTGGCCCACACTGCAAAAAAAAGGAGAGATAGAAGGGTTAAGGAGACAAGATAGAAAGAAATGGCTTACTTTGAATATGTTCCGATATCCCTCGTTAGTTTTTTTCTGTGCTTGAGTGCCGCCAACTTTACACGTTCTGCAAAAAAAGTTACTTTTCAGTCCTGAATGGCTACACTCCTCAGCGTGCATGGGGTTGTCTCCTGCAACAAATAGAACGTAAGGAAGTAACATGACTTCTTGCTCATACTTGCAATCCCAGGTAATAACACCCAAATCTGCTGCTTCACTACATGTGATCTGTGTAAGTTGTATGGATGACATGAGAGGAGAGCTGTTACTAACCGGATAGAATCAGTGACGCCTTTCATTAACTCCATTGGTGCAGCATGTGGTGAGGATGAAACAAACTGCACAGAAAACTCCTTCTCAAGTATCTCCCGAGGCATTGAGGCGTTAGAGAGGTACACTACATGGTGCTTGTTCCACTGCTTTGATACATTGCCGGACACATCATCCATGAAAATTATTAGTGGGACTGTCAGCACTAAACGGCCAGCTGATTTAGTGCAAATGGGGTTAGGCATTTGAGTGCCGAACTGGGCAGATGATTTTATTACATGAATCAGTCAGAGGACTGAAAGATTGATGTGAGGAGATTTGACTTACCAGTAAATCCAGTAAATTCCTGCGAATTAGCCTGAATTTCCTTGAATGTCCGCACAAATGTGAGTGTTGGTGCAATGATGCACTCTGGATCCACAATGAAACCGGCCTATAATTGAGAAGTGTTTGAAATGTCAGCAAGATTGATGGAGGTAGAATACTTACCTCAGATGGAACGACAGAGTGCCCAATAGCTAGTGTCTCCACAATACCTAACTGATCTTGAGACTGAAATATTTTCTTGGGAATAAAATAGGCACCATTGCTTTGTTGTAGAAGTTCGTCAACAGAATATATCTTGCCATTTATGAGAATAGAAGGTGCCGCGAGGGAGGGAGGGAGATCATGTAACATCTTTGTTCCATGGTGAGCCTGAGACATGGAACCGTCGCCTTCTTCGGGGTAATCTTGCATGGAACATCTTGTAATCGGGTTTGAATAGTCCTGTTTTTTATTGGGTTGATTTAGTTAAGCTACTACATGTCTGGAAAAAAAACCTACATTTGCAATCACTCGAGCGACTGAATTTTGATAGAATACATTACCGGAATTTGTAGTCTTCTTTTCGGTTGGGTTTCCTACAAGTTTGCAAATCCTTTCTTGGCATTTCTTCAATGCATGGAGCGTCGGAACATTGTGCGCTGATAGCTCTTTGGCCCAGGACAAAACGGCCTTTTTCTGAGCATGAGAAAATCGGAGTCGGGGCGAACTAAAAAGAAGGTCAGTTGCAAACACCTGGCAGGATCAGGTTAGTATATTCTCAGGTCATATAGTGACACAAGAAGTTGGCTTACCTCTTCAGATGGCCATGGATAGGTTGGTGCACTGGGGTGAACATCAGTTTGTTTCAAATGTGCTATCAGGGATATCTGTAGATAGGACCTTTATCGTGCACAGTTTTTAAGGAGGAGTTTATGTACCTGGACATTCAATGCCAAAATCGTCACCATCTCCTTCTATTCCTAGTTCTTCAGTTTCAGGACGCAAACAGCACGAGAAAGGTCTATCGCCTTTGCTTAAAGATTCGCGGATTTCATGGTAGATGTCAACATCAGGCAGTAGCTTGAAAGTACAGAGCCCAGAATTTGATCCCCATAATTCTCGAAGCAGAAGTGGCTGGTCTTGGGGCCCATTACTCAACTGAGGTGGAGGTTTACTGTATGGCGAGAGATGGCGGTGGTGAGGAGAGGCGGAATCAGGACAGAATATATTTTGTAGAGGTGTTTGGGGAGCTGGAGATGACTGAGATGGTGGAAGAGATGGGGCCCAATGCAGGATAGATCCAGGCTCTGAGCGAAGTCTGGCAATGTGGCGTATATGCTTTTTGCTGGAATCGTAACCGGCCAAATGGCATCGCCTCATGGTTAAGAAAAGCCCATTCTGCTTGGGGCAGGCAAGGCATGCGACACATTTATCTCTGTCCAGGGAGCGGTGTCGATGATGAGAACTGTAGTTAGAAAACCACACACAAAACAAACTAACACACAATCCTCCCAGATTCCACGGAATTTGTTTATGGGCTTTGCCTCCTAGAACAGTGGAGTGGTCTGGTTGTTCGTGGGGTGGTACATATAAAGATCCTTCAAAGTAAAACCCAGAGGTGTATGAGTGTGGGTTTTGAGGAGGAGGGATAGTTGAATTTATAGAAGGATAGGGGCTTTGTGGCGAGTATAGACGAGCACTACCTTGCTAATTGTAGCACAAGGTAGGTTTGAGAACAACGAGGATGACGAGGTGACGAGGTTCCCAGTGATAGCAGGCTCCTGACGCACAAACTGTAGTGCTCAGAAGGACTCTAATCGAAGGGGATGACAAAGGGGATGACAATCACTTTCAAAAGTGACGAGTGATGATGACAGCAGTTAACAGTGGTAGAAGTGGTAAGTGTTGTGACCACACTGGATCACAAGTAGCAGAGTAGTGAACTTGAGAGTAGAGAAGAAGTCTGGATTGGATTCTTGTTGTTTTTTTACAAGGTAAAATACAGGGGTTTATATAGTAAAAGAAAAGTAGGCTATGCACAGTATAGCTGTGCAAAAAGAATGAGAAAGAACATGAAGGAAGGAATGTACACTGACAAATCCTGCGTAGGTAGTACAGGATAAGATTGTCAAAAAAAGGAAAAGAAAGGGATAGAACAATAAATGCTGTGAGTAATGTCACAGGTTTGTACAGCCATAAAGTAAAGTCCAATAGCAAAAAGAGAGCAGGAAAATCATGATGTCATGGGAAGATACAGTAAAAAAAGGGCAAGGCAAAACACTATCAGTATCAACACAGTTCCTTTATTGTCAGTCAGACATTCTAAAAAACTATGTGTCCATAAAAATGATTCAAAAATCAAAAATAATCGCACTGTAAATGAATGTTCTGCTGAAAAAAAGAAACTGGAGCCACCGGTCCACCACCTAGTCCAAATCCGACAGTTCCATGGCCTTACCAATGGACTGGTTGTGTTGGACCACCTGATCAAACGAGGGAGGGAGAGGAGTAGTTCCAATTTGGAACAAGTGAATCCTAGGCAGCGTGTGATAGGTGTAGCTGTAGCGAAGACGATGGACAAAAGATAAGTGTACCCAAGTGAATGGGACAGCAATGAACATGGGCGACGCAAGGGGATGAACCTTCTCCAGCTCAAAAACTACCCACCCACACTCCAACCAGGCAAGACGAGCGACCGATGTTTTGATAGTATATGATGGCAGATCGACGTCATGAAGATGGACCTGTTGCCCTATTTGGACCGGCCGCCGGGGCTTTGCTGATATCAGCAGTGGCACGTGGTAGTCAACGGATCGGCGACAGAAGCAGATAGGAAGTGGTGACATCAGAAATGGTGGGGGTGCAAATAAGATGAGGAGGAGGAGGGTGGAGGTGATGAAAAAGTGGATTAGAATGGGGACCCAGAAACGACCGTCAGGTGAGAATAAAAAGGAGAGGAAGGGGCCCATGGTGGGGCTAGGCAAAGGAAGGGGAGTAAGGGAAACGACAAAAGCAAGGGCGCAATGCAATGTGTAGCCAGTGGCGACGCAAAAATTTGCCGAAATGCCGAAATGCGGAAAGTACCAGATGGAAAAGCAAAGGTGAGCGTGACTGGATTGCCTAATAGAGGTGATGCTGATCAGCCACAAGTTCGAAAAAGGCAATATTAATTACTATTCCACGTGGCACTGTGCCTGTGTGGCGCAAAGGCGAGTCTTTTGAATATTCGCTTCATTATTGACACCTGTCCATGCTACCAATCAACTTTGGTGCATGACATCAATTATCCAAAATGTCCCGCAATGTACAATCTAATGCTTTAATCCCATGACAGTGTTGCATTGGCGCTTCATCCCAGACAATAACTCCGGTATGTCTCAATACCTCATGGAGGTCAGAGTTTTTTGGAATCCTGCATGTGGATGTTTCATGTACAGGAATAGGGATTCAATCTCAGAGGATGCTACACATAGAGCAACATTATGATTATCTCTTGCTCAAGCAGCAGCGGCAATTGTATTACAGGGGTATGTTTTTCCCTTACCCTTACCTTCAGCACTGTGAATAAAGCAAGTTATTCCCCAATTATGATAGATTGACTGTATGATGGTATCAAAAGCATTCCGTTGCTCTTGACTGAGCTACTCCATACTATCTTTAGAGTAATAATAATACAGTAAAGTGATCAAATTTTATTTAGTCAGAAGTCAGTGAACTTGTGCTGTCTATCCTTATAACCGTGAGAATTTTCAATGTGGCTGCAATTTTCACTGCACTCGTTACTACTGCACTACCTTCCCTCTACTGCTAACCGAAAACCACGCGAGCGAAACTAAGCGAAAAAACGTGCTCCCACGTGTGCCGCACGCGACTTTTGGGACCCCCGTCCCCTTCGTTATAGATTAAAACTCTAATAATCCTGCAAGGTTTTTTTGACATTATTATGGTATTATTCGGAATTTTCACGCTATAATCCCTCATTTTTTTTAGTCTTCAAAGTGCAGTGTAACGCACCGCGACAATGAGATTTACCGAGATCTCGGAACATTTAGCCCCTGATATTCCTGAAAAAGAGGGAAAAGATTCTCGGCATCATATTGCCTCCACTAGCCCGGATTACATGCCTTTTGGACATGGCAGATACGTATGGTTCGTGCCCTGTGCTGTCTGGAGACGCGGTACACGTTTTATTGCGACTGTTGCTATCCTCCATTTCCCCAGTTGCTTTTATGCTGTGACTGAATTGAGAACGATGCTGGCTCATGTTGTGATGACATACGACATCGAGTGAAGGTGCACCACCTGCCAACTTGAGGTTTGGTCCGGCGAACTCTCCTAGTCCCAAGGCCAGAGTCACAGGAAACGCACACTTTAATGGATCAGCGATCGAAGCAACCGCAGAGAAATATCAACACAGGAAATTATATCATGTCGCTGGTATTTAGCTTTCATGCCTGTCGTGCTATCAGATGACACAGCGTATGCAGTACTCCCTAGTGATTCCTTGAGCTACAGGACAAACCTGATGTTGTGACTTATATCTTGTAGTCTATACTCTGCTGCAAAGCCCAGCTTCTATATTAGCATCATGCAAGGATCTCTACTCTAACAAACAGGACAACGGTTTCATCCTACACGGTAGCGAGACACACAGTCGATATTCTACTCTTACAATGAAGCGGCGCTATCAAAGCACGCGACCTAACATCCAGCGCTTCCCTCCAGGTAAATACCCCCAATATACTTTCACTTCCGCAACAACTAGAAATGTTCCTAGAATACCCACATGGTGAGATTCGCCTTAAAAGGATTCGAAGACGGAAAACAAACCTTGGCAAATGTGAACTCGACATTGGCAGAAGTGTGTTCAAGAGTTGCCTCTTTGATAGCCTTGGCGAGGACACCGGGTCCACAGAAATAAGTCTGGAAGTTTCATTTAGAACAGACAGGTAAATTCAATGACTATAAGACTTACCCCGACTTTGGTCTTCAGCTGAGCATTACTACCGTGGATGTATCTGCCGGTCTGAATAGCCTGGGCAATTCTACCGTAGATGCTCTTCCAGTCAGGTCGGCCGAACATAGTACGAGTACGAAGGAGCGTGAGAGGATCGTATTCGGCACCAGCATCGTTAACAGCAATGTTCCATAGCATGTCTTCACCGATCTTCTGCGTCAGGTAGATGTTGATGCGAAGGAAGTTGGCTATACATGATATCATTAGATGGTGATGAGATGGTAGGATATATGTGAAATACATACGGTCAACTTGAGCAGCTTCAACTTCTTGCAACAGAGTTTGGAACCATCCGAAGGATGGGGCATCACGGCATACCCAGAAAAATTCGACACGACGTAAAGCGCCCATATTGCCTCTCTTCTGGCGGTACCATATGTGCTTGAGAATAGAGGCGAAGGGAGTGACACCTAGAGACATTAAATAAATGAGCATACGATACTTAGGAAAAACCCTGGGCGTTTAACGGCAGGAGAGCTTACCAATACCAGCACCCACCAAGACAGCAACTTCATTATCGAAGACATCTTCCGCAGGGGCACCATAAGGACCGTCGATTCTCACCGAGGGTAGTGTGAGAGACAGATTCCCAGGGTCCAGTTCCACGAATTCACCACGAGTACCGTAGGCGTCATCTTCTTTTTCGTATCCTTTCATAGCGGCTTTCGTCATGGCAGCAACGGCAGAAGGGCCACATCCAACACGTTCACCCAGAGCGTGAGTCCAGTCGCCAACCTGACGGATATGAACCGAAACGTAAGGGTCTTCAGGAGCAGAAGTGATGGTGAACTGAAAAGGGGCATTCATTGATAAGGACACATAAAAATAATTGGCTAGAAATTTGACTTACAGGGTGCCATTGCCAACGGGATATCTCGGGGACTTGGATAAACAACCATTGACCAGGAGTGTATTTGAAACTGGGCTTGACAATTCGAAGCTCCATCGCACCACTCGGGTGAACAAGGACCTTAGACAGTTTAGTCGATCGTCTAGCCCGGTACTCCCTGTATACCCGTTCCCCGAAATACAAGATGAACGGCCATATTGTGAATCGCCAACTTTCGTATCCAAGGCAATGTTCCGTTGAATAGAATGGGAAGCTGCTGATATAATCGGGGTTGGTAGAGTCACGGACAAAACAGCCGTCAGCGTGTGTGAATAAACCGATGAAGAAGAAAAAGGCCAGATGATGGGTGTACCAGAACGCTTCAAAGCACTGGTTACGAATTTTGTGATGCGCGGTGGTGTATATCAGGACCATGATGAGAAGCATGAAGTGGCCTGTGATTGCGCCAGCTTGCTTGTAGTGAATATCAAGAGCATCTTCAACGCGGACCTCTGCGAGACTTGATTAGAAATGTACAGTCATGAGCAGCAAACATACGTACGAGTACGCTCGACGTTAAAAAAGTTGACGTAGTGAGCCGAAGTATGAACCATGGACCAAAATGCTAGCGAATAGGCCACCTGTCTGTGGAACCAAATGTTTTCATCGGCAGGGAAAAGCCAGGCTAACTTTGGTCGAACGACACGGATGACATTACGCAGCATGGGAAGAAGGAGTAACCCAGCATTGAAAGCGAGTGTAAGACCGGCTCCTCGAGAAGTCCATACCGACCACGTTAAGGCATTGAGTGCGGACAGCTTCGCATCAGTTGCCTAAAAACAATTGAACAGGTTTGAGACAAGGTATTTGAGCGAGGAAAAAAATGCCTACCTGTAGGTACCAACCCAACGAAAAGAAGCCCACTTGAAGACCGTAGAAGATGACATTGAAGGCAAGCCTCCTGGGAGCGAGGAACTCTTTTTGAAACCAAGTTTCACCCATAGCGTTCAAGATGAAGATGACAGCAAACGAAACAAACTGGATCCAGCCAGAAAGAAAAGAATGTTGAAGAAAAGGAAAATGAGGGCGTTAAAAGGAAGGAAAAGGATAAGGGAGATGAAAGGTTGTGGTGGCTCAAAAGGCTGAGACCTCTTTCTTCTTCGGCGTCCACCCATCATGTGACCATGGCAATTGTCTTATTTTTCTCTTTTCCCACTGTCGCCGACGACCGTTTGTAATTTTAGCACTCCCCAACGGAGACATCGACCTCTACAGAATTTATAAATTTAGCACCAACTTTGCATTTAGAGGCACATACCTTTGATTGAGCGGTCCCGAATTATGTCGCAGAAGTACCGTGTCTGCGAGGCCTATCTGATATGCAGACTATGCATAGTACAGGCGTTATTGCCTCGATGCTGCACTGGATGCTCAGGATATTTATGGCACACATTTGAGGTGGTGGGAGAGAAGATGGATGCTGGCATCTTTGTGATCTTAACATCCAACATTTCCAGTCCGCCCAGGTCCAGGGCCAACTCTTAGCGAGCCGCGCCTCATCGTGCACCATGCATCAATATTAATGACATGATCACTGGCAGTCCATCACAGATAAGGGCCTTTTTGACGCTCGTTATACAAGCTTTAAAACTCTCAGAGGGTTTCTAATAATTTTTGTTTATTCTTCTAATAGACTATTATGATCCATCATGGGGTCTGTACAGCACAAAATGCGTCTATTTTTCAAGTTCAGTTGGTGAGTACTGTGGGCAATTTGTCTTGCCAAGATTGCCCAGGATGTACACCACCGCATCTGCTACTACTACTGATAATTATGATAGGACCTTCAAGCAGTGCAGTGGCAGAGAATCTGCTCACGCATGTTCGTCTGTGAAACTCAGGGTACGCGATTTTATCTTATCTTATCCTATCGGAATCCCACTCATACCGGATCAACACATCCGATAATTATCTCTCCATGAAAATTATTTGTCAAAGCGCCCTTGCTTCCGTCCTCAACGTGCAGCTTTCTACGTAGCGCCTACGTATTCCTTACCTCTGCCCATCAAAAATCATATAAACGTGACAGCCTCGTTTTTTATTTGCCACAAGGCCAAAATTTGACAAGAACTGTACCACCATATCAATCAAGATGTTTGTCCTTAGGCAATCATAACGCCTTTTCTCTGCGTAATTTCCACTTCGTATCCTGACGCTTCCAAACACATAACATTTCTTTTCACTGGGCTTTTAGACGTTCCTGCACTCGCTATAATCCGACATATAATCGTCTCGGGCCTCTCTTGGATTTTGGATTTATTCCCTTTCGCTCGCAGATATAGACAGAAGATTAGACAGCATACCCCCACAATACGCTCCAGATTGGACTCCATTCAACTAGAAATATATCAATTAGGATCGGACGCTAGACTTTCAATATCTAGAATCAGACTATCCGCGTACTCGGTTCACTCGATCTCAAATATCATCAATATACTCGTATAGGCTCTTAAAAAAGTTATCTTTAAAGTACTAGATGGCTACTATTCATAACGCTGCTTTGTTAGGCGTATATTTTACACCAATCTCTTCACTGCCTCCACTTGCTCGCCTCAAGACGTTCCATGCCGCTCAGATCAGCGAGGTTTTGAACTCATTAAGAGCACTGTATTTCCCCCCCAGATCTGCCGGTTCCTTGATATCTAGTATGTTATTTACTGCTTTTGATTGATAACTGCACTTACGAGACATAGGCCATATTTCAGATGGAGGTTCAATCTTACCAGTAATCCCTCCCGAAGGGAAACCCATTCCACACCTTGTTCACGATGATTCTGTACCTGATTCAGGATATGCCTCCGAAGACGAAGTCGAGGCAGAGGCGTATAACTCACCGAAGAACGGGGAAAGAGTGGTTAACACAGATATCATCTCAGAAAGGGAACCATGTCTCTCAGTTTCGTCGACAGAAGGTGACGGCGATCTCGTAATGCTTCGCTCAGATCCGCTCGAGCGCTCTTTCGCTATCGAGTGGCTCACAGGTCTCGTCAAACGATCTGATGCATGGGCTGAGGCTGCAGGCGATGCTGGAGGAGCCGAGGTCGAAAAGGAAACTGATTTACGCAGCTTGGTGGTCGATGACGCGGCCAACATCCTTGCACGTTTTGCAGGGGACGATGAAGAAGAAGAGGAGCTGACGAGGAAGTTTACATTTCCCTTTTGCGCAAATACAAATAAACCGCATGGAAACTCGGAAATAATAACAGTCGAGCTAAACGATGCCCCTTTAGATCGCACGGACCATACGTCCGTTGGATTGCAAAGCTGGGCAAGCTCAATTCTGCTTGCGAAGAAAATGTGTTATGAGCCGAGGAAGTTTTTGGCCCCAGGGGATGCTGTGGAGGGTAACTCAGGAATCGATACAGAATATAGAAATGAAGAAGAAAAAGGACTACAGACTAGGAGGATTCACGTTCTAGAGCTTGGAGCGGGGACTGGTTTATTAAGTATTGTCACTGCTAAAGTGCTTGGACGACTTTACCGAAACAGAAATTCGGCTCAAACGGTGAAAGGAGAAGTAAAAGTGGTTGCTACGGATTATCACCCAGACGTGATAGCCAACCTCGCTCGAAACGTACAGACGAATTTTTCTTCCTCTTCGCATCCTGTGCGGATCACTACCCTCGATTGGTCTCGCCCCATCACCCCTGAAGGCTCACCCTTTGATGTGATTCTCGCTGCGGATGTGATCTATCATCCACAACACGCGTATTGGATCAAGGCATGTGTCGAGGCGCTGTTGACGAAGCCCGATGATAATGGAGGGGGGAACGGTGGCATCTTCTGGATGATCATTCCTCTCCGGTCGACTGGTCGGCATGAAGGGATGGGGGCGACGGTGGACGACGTATTTCCGGACGCGTTCTCGACTTTCTGTTCATCTGGTGATATGGGAGCATACTATCTTGCCATAGTACAGAGAGAGGAAGTCGAGAGGCAGGAAGGAGTTGGACGTGCGGATGAAGGAGGGTATAAGCTGTTTGAGATCCGCTGGGTTAAGTGTCTTGAGGGAACCATAGACTAAAAAACTCAAGGGTGCCTTGTACGTAATAGTCAATTCAACTTTTTTAACTTTTGACTACCAACTTGAAGGTTCTTTCTGCAGTCGCCGAGATTTTAAACACCCTCAAAGCAAGTACCTCCGACCCTCCGACATCCTAAAGTGTACTCCTTCCCGCTCTGAATTGCCTCGAGGCTATACGAGCATTTTCCTGCAACAGATCAATCACTGCTCTCTAAAGCTAGTTTGCTATGTTTGTCTCACCGACGCGCAGTCATGCGTGATCGCGATCGAAGGCAGTAACATGTTGATAATGCATATGGTCCAACTTTATCGGCCCGAACCTATGGCAGAATATTCATAGTAACAAAGTCTATGTCCCCCACAAACTCCAAGTTGAGGATCATCGATGAGTATTGTCCAGCGTTTTAATGCCACGTCTAAAGTTCAGGTGCTAAGGAGTCCTTAAGTGAAGCTGCTGCCCGTGTGGAAAGGCGTGTAAGATCAAGAAAACCATTGACGTGTGTTCTGCAAGTGATCGCTTTGGATTGTCCCAGAGACTTTGTTGTAAGGATGGTTAAACCATTTCAGTACCGCGTCATTTTTCCATTCTAGATATGTCTCATCTAGGTGGTGTGGTTCTGGATATGAATATTCTAATGTCGAGTGGCTGATGACCTTCTAGGCCGCACTGTAAAGCGTGTGAAGGTGCTTCTTACATTGATTACCCAACAGATATAGTATTTTCTGCCTTGAAAACTGTTGCATGAGCTTTGGCTACCTCAGAACTGGATGATATGGTTTCCAAATTCCTGGGCTTTTTGTTCTGTCTAGTGTTTTGGTTACATTCGAGGGTGACTGCAGTCTGATAGTAGCCTCGACAAATTGTCGCGGAGTTCGAAAGGTTCCTGTTCAAGAAATTTCAAGTTCGAGTAGGTTGCATCTGTCGTGAATCACTTCAAAACATAGGACGGCATTGATTCTCCTCCCTCCTGGACAGGCATGCTCTATTTCTCTGTCAGTGTCAACCCAAACGGAAAGTACGGTGACTCCCTAGGCTCAGACTCTCGAAAGATACAAATAGAGAGTAAATTTAGCAATGGATTGGTCGAACCGCTCACAATTCAGCAGATATCGAGACAACCATGCTTTTCGCAAAGTTTATCCAGATTTCGCATTACAGCTCTATTACAATTCTCTTAACTCTTTGTGCCATTTTGTCGGCGACGAATGCCACTCAGATTATGCGCAATTCTACCCATCATGTGGGGACAGCAGTTTCGGAGTCGTCGCAGCTGATCCAAAAAAGGGCAAGCCAATACGTGCAAGCGGCTTACTTCACTAACTGGTAAACATTCTCTTGCACTATTTGACCGATAATCTATCTAATGTTGGTACGTAGGGGAATTTATGGTGCTAACTTCCGTGAGCTCAGAGTCAAGATTCTATGGCTATTGGCTTTCCATCTGACTTCAAAAAACAACAGAACCTACCGATATTACTCCATCAGACCTGACACATATTTTATACGCCTTTGCCGACGTCTCTTCCAGCACTGGTACTATCTCGTTAACCGACAGTTATGCCGACGAACAGGTGATAGTAATTCATGTTGGGCTAGTATTTTATTGAAAGGAAAAAAACTGAATGTAGAAACACTTCCCTGGAGATTCTTGGAGCCAACCTGGAAATAACTTGTTTGGATGTTTGAAACAGGTACTTGTTGATTTTTTTTACTCTTCTGACTGTTTTCTTGATCAGTGGGATACCCTAGCTGTATCTTCTTAAACTTGCCAACAGGTAAGTTGGCATATTTTTACTACAAGAAACATGACAAACCTCGTTCACGTAGGAATTTGAAAGTTCTTCTGTCTGTTGGCGGTTGGACTTACTCACAATCTGGTCATTTCTCATTTGTTACCAATGCAAATAGTCGGGCCACTTTTGTTACAAGCGCAGTGCAACTCGTTAAAGATTATGGCTTTGATGGAATGTAAGTCTTTTCTTCTTCTATTTTTCATGTATGCGCACATTCTTACAAGCGGTAAATCAGTGACATTGATTTTGAATATCCATCCAACTCTGATCAGGGTCAAGGCTTTGCAGACCTTATCACTGCATTGCGGCAAGGGTTCGACAATCTGAAAACTTCCAACGGTGATAGTGTATCATATGAAATTACTGTACGTCTGCGATCTGCATTTTCATTCCTGCTTCTCACTGTTGATCACAAGGCCTTACTTTCAGGTAGCCGTATCCGCTAGCGCCGCCAACTATGGGAATTACGTCGTTCCCCAGATGGATAAAGCATTAACCTATTGGAATTTAATGGTATAGTATCTTTATTCCAAGGTTTTGTGAAAGGGTGTCTGAATAGGATCTTCCAGTCGTATGACTATGCTGGTTCCTGGCTGAGCTGGGTATGTCATCTTATATCTTTGCGAAGGCACTTTAATGAGCCAGTATACCATAAGACGGATAATCAAGCCAACTTGTATGGCGGCTCCCGTACTAAAGTCAATACTGATGCTGCCATAAAGCATTATATTTCTGATGGTGCATCTGCGGGCAAGATTAATATGGGTAACAATGTTCGAGGTTGGAACTTTATATATGGTACTCACTTATTTGTAGGTATACCACTTTATGGACGCGCATTCGAAAATACGAATGGTCTTGGCGATTCTTTTAGTGGAGTATGTCGTAATTTTGCAGTCGTCTCGTCCCTCTCACTCACAACCTTTTAGGTTGGTCCTGGGACCATCCAAGCTGGCATCTACTCTTATAAATATCTTCCACTTGCCGGCGCGAAGGTCTACGAAGATACTGTAGATGTAGCAAGTTATTCGTACGATTCTACTAAGAAGGAACTAGTGTCGTATGATATCCCAGATGTCGTAAAGCTGAAGGCCAACTATGTTGTTTCTAATAAACTTGCAGGTACTATGTTCTGGGAGGTAAGTTTTTCACCTTTTACGTGGACCCCTTAATCACGGGTTGATCATATTTTATCTCTAGCTTTCGACTGATAGAACCGGCTCAGATTCACTTGTAGGCACGGCTGCAGGTGTATATGGCACTTTAGATCAGACACAGGCGAGTTTGTCTTTCACGCACTGTATATCAGGCGAATGCTGAACGTGAATGTTCCTCAGAACCATATACAGTTCGTACCCCCACCCTTCCATGTCATCCAATTCTGAATGTGCAGTAGTTACCCTGACAGCAAATGGGACAATATCCGCAACAACATGAATGGAAACAGCCCTCCACCTGCAACTTCATCCGTCCCTTCGAGTGCTCCAACCTCCACTCAACCCCCTGGTTCGGGTAACTGTGCGGGGGTAAATGCCTGGAACTCCAAGGCAAGCCGTTTCCCATCAACACCGATAAACCATACTCATTATACCAACTACACAGACAGCTTATACTGGAGGAAAAACCGTAACATACAGTAAACTGATGGTTTCCTTTACTATCCCGTAGTATGGCATCTTATTGGTCTTTACTTAGATGGTCACCTTTGGACTGCTAAATGGTGGACTGCTGGAGATACTCCTGGAGGAAGAGGTAGGCTAACACATGTTGACTGCGGTTTGTCGACTGACGGCTTGATTTAGCGGGTGTATGGACTGATGATGGTGCATGCGCGTCGTCCAGGCGTTCAATGCGATTCACGAATTAACGAATGCCAGAAATTTGGAACCGAGGCGTGTGGTATGATTTATGACTACTGAATCCTCTCATCTCTGATAATGCCCAGTGATGACTTCAAGCTGTTGTATGATAATTACCTACGTGTTGTTTGTTCGAAATTGCAAAGTGAAAATGAATCTCAAGAGTAATATGCCTGTTATTAGAACGCAAAAGCTACATATGGTCCAGACTCCAACCACTCGGCGGGGTGTTCTCCTACATCCTAGTGTAGCCACATTTGATTACATAATAAATATTTTTCCGAAGTTTTATCGAAACTTTAGTGTTGAGGATAACACCCCAAGCCGACTGGCAAACTTTGCTGTGGCTGAATATTTAAGTCTATTTGTTCACCCTGTAAGAAACGGTGCTCCTGCCAAAAGAAGACCGGCCATACGGAGCAGAGACCATGTATTGCATTGCGTAAACTTTGACTTCTTTCCATCACAGTTGCCTTCTTGAGCCAGCATCATTGATGTCTTCTTGACAGAATGTCATTCCTAGCATCGACGAGATATCAGCAACTGTATATTCAACATTTGGGTTTCAGCCTTGCCCTTGGCAGATCCGTTCTGCACGGGCTCAGCTAGAGGCAAAAGATGTCATTACTATTTCTCCTACAGGCTCAGGAAAAACATTGTGCTTCTGGATCCCTCTGCTCTTCCATGACAGAGTCATGATCCTTATTACACCACTCAACATCCTTGGAGACAAAAATGTGGATGAGCTAAAAGACATCAATATCCCTGCTATTTGTCTGACAGCCAAATCAGCCACTGACAAAGCGTTCAAAGTAAGTCCACATCTTTCGACCATTTTCAAGCAGTTGAAACTCTTATAGGAAATTGCAGCTGCAAAATATAGAGTCATTATTGTAAGCCCCGAGCATGTTTTATCAGACAAGCACTTTGATATTCTGTAGGCAAACCAACAGTTCACAAACAAGCTATTCAGTGTGACAATTGATGAAGCTCATTGGATTAGTGAGTGGGGAGATGGATTTCGCCCTGAATATGGAGACCTTGGTCGTTTGCAATGGATCCTTCCTCGCCATATCTCATTTCATGCTGCATCTGTTACGATAACACAATTTTTGGACCTTTCCTTCTTCATTCTCTGCTTTAACCTTGTACACTTTACCTTTCACACATGGTGCCACGTGGCACTTCCCCTTTTTGTTCAAACTCCTCTTTCTCGCGCCGCGTTGCCTTCTTCTTACTTTAGATTCAACTCTCTCACACAGTGGAGCTGGCCATGCGGGCTAGGCCCCATAACACCATCAGCCACTAACTTTATCAACTGTACAGTACATAAGTACAAACACTCTGTATTAGTATATATACCCCAATAGATCCAGGAGACTCCTCAGCGAGTCCTCCTGTTGTATACCAACAAACTCTCTGCAGCTTAAGGGGTAACCACTCCCTCATCATCTTCTTTATAGTGTGTTCCTGTGTGCGCAAGAGTAACTAACTCCTGGTTGTTACATTAGGACTTGCTCTTCTACTCTCTCGCACATTGTGCAAAAAGTCCCACTGGGCACCCAGACTCCAGGGTGAAGGAGATTTGGTTATTGGTTGGGAATATCCTGCATAGCAGATAGGTGCGCTCTTCGCGACGGCCTTGTAGTGCTTTGGGAGAAGAACCAAAACCTTTGTGTCAGGCAACGAATACGAAGCTATATAACAAAATACAATGCCTGGTCAAGTCCTTGCTGGAAGGCGGTGAATCAGGGTATGAGTTTTGAAGAGTATTGGTATAGGCGCAAATCCAAACTAATATTGAACTAAAGAATAATACATCGAGTATGTACTTCTTTATATAGTGAATGGCAAGGGTCAGACCGAGAAAAGGAAGAATTAAGAAAGTGGTCTGACCAACTGACTAACCAATAGGAAAAGAAGGAGAAAGTGGTCCGATCTATCGTATTTATTAATCGTATGAGAAAAAGTATTGGTAAGGGGTGTGCAATTGGCTGTATCAGTAAGCCCATGAGAAGGCGCTGACTCACAACCTTCTTCGCTTATCAATATCCCTCCGAAGTATTCCCAGACATAGCACTGGATTGTTGCTATGTCATTTGGATATCTTCTCGAGGGTCTGCAACAAGTCTCCTTCGTTGTAAGTACGATAGGACGTGAGTGTGAATAGAGAATAAGAAGAAAAAGGATAAAAGTAATAAGATACCGGCTGTGATCTCTAGTCCAAGGGCAAGAGGAGTGACAGGGATCGAGTCTGTTAACCACGACATGACGGGAATGCGATAAGAAAAATTGATTCCTCACACTTTGATACGCGGCCCCCAGCATTAAGGGGAGTACTTAGCTCAGCAGTTGGTGTGGAACCGCTGTTGATCAGCATCTGCTACTTTGCCACCACATATCATCCGCGACATCAAGAAAAAGCTTCATATGGAATCCAACAACATTGTAACCATTCATCGCCGCAATGACAGACCAAATATCCACATTATGGTCACAAAAATGGTGTATCCAATCAAAACTAAATATGATCTAATTCGTGCACTGGGGATTGACCATGGAACTCAAGCCCCATCATTTATGATTTTTGACAACACTAGGAACCAGACAGAGCACTGATGTAAGGTCATATAATCAGTCTTGCCATCTGAACACCAAGACAAAGTTGTCTGGTTCCATACAGGGATGAGCGATCAGTTTCGTAGAGACACGATAGAACAGCTATGCACGAGGGACTTGTGTAGCATCTGTTGTACAGATGCTGCAGGTATGGTGCGTCAGCTATCAAATATTTTTGTACTTGTATCCAAAGACAAGTAGGGTCTAGACTTACACAGCATTAAGCTTGTGATACAATGGGGGTATACAAAATCTCTGTGTTCACTCTTACAACGCTTTGGGTGTGCTGCACGCAATGTGAACATTGAAGCAACTGCAATTTATTTTGTTGAACCACGGCACTTTGATAGCCATAAATGATCATCCAAGAGAAAAAATATGGAGGATCAGCAAAAGCTAGCACAAAAGCGGCATAAAACTCACCATGAAGATGATGAAGGTCCGTCGAACAAAGAGCTGTTTGTCGAGGCCGAGCCTGAGGAGGGCAGTGGCAATAGTGGTGGTGATGGGGATGTAGTGATGGCACCTGTAGAGAGTGAGACAATAGGGCAATCATGCCATATTCATTCAAGTGGATTCTCTCACCTTGAGTTGGCATCCAGCTCCGAGTCTAGGACCAAAATCCTACTGGCCAATCTTCCAGTTGCAGAGCTCGAGATGGTGGAGATGGATATCTTTATTAATTCTTGCTTGTGCCGACGCTGCGTTGTTGACAAATACTTTGCAAATCCTGATGGTATGTTGTGTCAGTTACTTTATAACAAAGAAAAATAGCTTACCTGCAGTGAAGAACACAGTGAGAACGGTGGCGGCAGGTGTGTGTGAGAGATGCAGCTGTTGTTTGTTGCAGCTTTGTTGCAATATTTGCAACCAGGACTTGTGCATCCTGTTTGTCCCATTATCGCTGCCTCAGTTAACGCATGCTAAACGCAAGATGAAAACCAAGGACTATCAAACGGGCCCAAACGACTTATGCCTGCGAGATGCACTTGAAGATTGGAGAGAGAAGCAGATGGTTGATGCTGGTTATGGAGGTGTCGACTTTTTTGGGGCCCAACTTGTCATCGCCAACAAAATCCTCGACTGCATTGTTGATCTTGCTCACTATGGCAAATTAACAGATGTTGCTAAACTGAAGGAGCAGACAGATTGGTGCTATGCTGATGAGTTTGGTAGAAAAATCATTGAGCTTGTGCAAACGCACCACCCACCACCTTCACTTCCTGTACAAGGACCTTTATTCACCATACAGCCACTTAATACAATGGTGCTACCTTCGTTGTCAAATGCTGAAGATATAGCCTCTGCATCAACAACTAAGAAGAAGAGGTTGTGTAAAGCTTGTGGGAGCACCACTCATATCTGTGCATTGTACCACCACAGTGACCAGCTGACAAGTACTCATATATTCTTAGCATCAAATCGCCTCTGCCCGAAGTATGGCTCCATCCCATCAAAGCCCCGGAAGACACAGAATCATCCCAATGACGAGAATATTAAGCCCGCACAAAATGGTGAGCATACCACAGTGTAAAATAAGTCAGTCTACAAGGTCAGCACCAGTTATTTTAACACTCTCACTATCGCCCTCCCCGGATGTAGATACTCCTAATCCTTTTTTTTTGTATAATCCCAAAGCCGCTTGCTACCTTATCATCAACAGAAAATTGCAACTTACAACCAGCAGTAAACTTGTGCGGTTTAGTCTCTAAAAGCCGCTTTGTAAGTTTTTTAATTGTCTTGGTCATATCTGGTGGTTGGTGGCGGATTGTATGGTGGAGGAGGTGGAATGCATTTTCAACAGCTTATTTGTGCTGCATACTTATGCTTCCCAACAGCAACAAAGATATGTATCCATGGCAAGAACGAGGCCTCAATGCAACCCACATCTCCAGAATTCATGGCATGGCATAAATCAACATACATGAGCTCATCACAATTGCGGAGGAGTTGGTTTTCATACACTTTGTCACGCTCATGGAAAGGTTTGCTGTGTTCTTTACGCAAATCAGGACTGGTCCCAACATACTTGGCCACAATTGCTTCAGACATGTCAACTATGTCCTCCCATGTGGGTTTTGTAGTTGCAAACAGCTCGATTGATGAGCACTGTGGATTTCTTTTGGTAATCTCATGTTGCCAGCAGTTAAGCATTGATGCTGTCAAGTCATGGTGCACAATGTCATGCATACACCTGAATCCAGGCTTGCTGATGAACTTTCCTGTCTCTTTAGGATGCAGCATCCCAATGTGCTCATACAAGCTATTTGGGTCACTTCAAGAGTCTGCAGGCTGCAGGTACGTCCGCCAGATTGCATCAGTGCATGCCATTTTATAATGGAAGAGCCCTGGCAGAAACACAATGTATTGAAACCAATCTTTTACTGTAGTTTTCACACTCCATGCCATGCAGCACTTTCCCTTTTATTCGAACTCCACTTTCCCACGTTGCGCTGCCTTTCTTTCTATTTTAGATACAAGTCTCTCACGCAGTGGAGCTGGTCACACGGGCTGTGCTGTCATGCACCAAAGTTGATTGGTAGCATGGACAGGTGTCAATAACGAAGCAAATATTCAAAAAGACTTGCCTTTGCGCCACACAGGCACAGTGCCACATGGAATAGTAATTAATATTGCCTGTTTTGAACTTGTGGCTGATCAGCACCACCTCTATTAGGCAATCCAGTCACGCTCACCTTTGCTTTTCCATTCGGTACTTTCGGCATTTTGGCAAATTTTCACGTCGCCACTGGCTACACATTGCATTGCGCCCTCGCTTTTGTCGTTTCCCCCCCTTCCTTTGCCTAGCCCCACCATGGGCCCCTTCCTCTCCTTTTTATTCTCACCTGACGGTGGTTTCTGGATCCCCATTCTAATCCACTTTTTTGTCACCTCCACCCTCCTCCTCCTCATCTTATTTGCCACCCCACCATTTCTGATGTCACCACTTCCTATCCGCTTCCGTCGCCAATCCATTGACTACCACGTGCCACTGCTGATATCAGCAAAGCCCCAGCGGCCAGTCCAAATAGGGCAACAGGTCCATCTTTATGACATTGATCTACCATCATATACTATCAAAACATCGGTCGCTCGTCTTGCCTGGTTGGAGTGTGGGTGGGTAGTTTTTGAGCTGGAGAAGGTTCATCCCCTTGCGTTGCCCATGTTCATCACTGTCCCATTCACTTGGGTACACTTATCTTTTGTCCATCGTCTTCGCTACAGTTACACCTACCACACGCTGCCTGGGATTCACTTGTTCCAAATTGGAACTACTCCTCTCCCTCCCTCGTTTGATCAGGTGGTCCAACACAACCAGTCCATTGGTAAGGCCATGGAACTGTCGGATTTGGACTAGGTGGTGGACCGGTGGCTCCAGTTTCTTTTTTTCAGCAGAACATTCACTTACAGTGCGATTATTTTTGATTTTTGAATCATTTTTATGGACACATAGTTTTTTAGAATGTCTGACTGACAATAAAGGAACTGTGTTGATACTGATAGTGTTTTGCCTTGCCCTTTTTTTACTGTATCTTCCCATGACATCATGATTTTCCTGCTCTCTTTTTGCTATTGGACTTTACTTTATGGCTGTACAAACCTGTGACATTACTCACAGCATTTATTGTTCTATCCCTTTCTTTTCCTTTTTTTGACAATCTTATCCTGTACTACCTACGCAGGATTTGTCAGTGTACATTCCTTCCTTCATGTTCTTTCTCATTCTTTTTGCACAGCTATACTGTGCATAGCCTACTTTTCTTTTACTATATAAACCCCTGTATTTTACCTTGTAAAAAAAACAACAAGAACTCGAATCCAGACTTCTTCTCTAATCTTAAGTTCACTACTCTGCTGCTTGTGATCCAGTGTGGTCACAACACTTCTCACTGCTACCACTGTCAACTGTTGTCATCGTCACTTCCCACTTTTGAAGTCATTGTCATCCCTTTCGATTAGAGTCCTTCTGAGCACTACAGTTTGTGCGTCAGGAGCCTGCTATCACTGGGAACCTCGTCATATTATCATTCTCAAACCTACCTTGTGCTACAATTAGCAAGGTAGTGCTCATCTATACTCGTCACTAAGCCCCTATCTTCTATAAATTCAACTATCCCTCCTCCTCAAAACCCACACTCATACACCTCTGGGTTTTACTTTGAAGGATCTTTATACGCAGTTTGGAAATCAATATCAAAATTGTCGTAAGCAAAAGCTGACTGCATAGACCACACAGCTTGTTTGATTTGACTTGATATCCCATGTGGCATAGAGTTCACTGCCTGATGAATTGATGTGACACTGACAGACAAGCCAGTGTGTGCAAGGACGTCAACAACTTTCTCGGGGGCCCCAGTTGAGTGCAGGAAGATACCGAGGAGACCTTGCAGGTAATTGCATCTCTTGTTTACACTCTGTAGGAAGATACTGATGCAAACAATGGCTTTCTGAGTGAATCCCCATTAATTTTTATTCAAGGCCATTTTCGGACATTCTCACCACAAGAAAAAGTGCCTTTTTTCGATCCTCTGCTCGCTTTGCTCAGCGGCTATTTTTTTCACCACTCTTGCTGGCTATCAAGTTGGGATCTCTGGTATGTTCTTCATTCATTTCCTCCTCATCATCACTTTCTGACTCTCTTTCCTCATCATCACCTCCAATTTCACCGAGATCCATCCCTGCCTCATCCACTAGGATATCTGATGTAACAACCAAGAGTTAGTTACTCTGGCGCACAACTAGAACCAACTATAGAGATGATGATGAGGGAGTGGTTACCCTTTAGACTTCAACAAGTTAGTTGTGAGGATACAACAGGAGGACTCGCTGAGGAGTCTCCTGGGCCTATTGAGGTATATATACTACTACAGGTTGTTTGTACATGTTGTACTATACAGTTGATAAAGCAGTGGCTGATGATGTCAGAGGGCGCAGCCCGTGTGGCCAGCTCCACTGCGTGAGAGACTTAGTAGCTAAAATAAGAAGAAAAGCAGCGCAGAGCGCGAGAAAGAGGAGTTCGAACAAAAGGGAAAGTGCCGCATGGCACAAATGTGAGAAAACTACAGTAAAAGGTTAAAGAGGAGAATAAAAATTAAAGGTCCGAAAATGCGTTATCGTAACATCTGAGGCTTCCGAGTTGTTTCCCAAGAGGGCCATCATCAAACCCCAAAGGTTTGGGGTGATAGTCTTTATTTTCCGTGAAATTGACTGCATGAATCCCCCTTCTAGTTGCTCCAACGTGACTGCTGTTGCACAAAAGTGTAGGTTGTGACGCTGGTGAGTGAGTTCTTTAACCTCTTTACATAAGCAAGACTTGACAGCATCCATTGCCCATGCAAAGATGTTCTGCCTAGTTGATGGATGGCTATACAAGACTGTACAGATGTCTTCAGCCTCTTGGACAATTATTTCTTGGGTGCGGCAATGAGTAAGAGGTTGACTGTTAAGGATTTCATAGAGAAGTGATGACAAAGTAGCATTATTTTGTTTTAAAGTGTACAAGATGTTGTTGATACCCTCCGAGGAGATCATTTGAGCTGTCTAAAGGATTTGAAAAGTGTGCCATTCTAACTGTCTCTTCCCCCTACACGTTGACTCTGCATGTCCAAACTTAATTACCAATTTTGGTGTTGGTTACTTTTATGTTGCTCCGTATGGCCGGTCTTCTTTTGGCAGGAGCACCGTTTCTTACAGGGTGAACAAATAGACTTAAATATTCAGCCACAGCAAAGTTTGCCAGTCGGCTTGGGGTGTTATCCTCAACACTAAAGTTTCGATAAAACTTCGGAAAAATATTTATTATGTAATCAAATGTGGCTACACTAGGATGTAGGAGAACACCCCGCCGAGTGGAGTCTGAAGATTTGGTCTAATATTCCAACTCAATTCAACTCAGTGGAAAGTCAGTCAAACTCCTATGCATGTGATTTTTCAAAATACCTTCAGTTTGGCTGTAATATTTGCACCAAATAACTGTTTGGATCATTTTTAAATACCTGCTAAGGCGAGTTACTTGAATGCAATATGATACATTGAATGCGAAAAGAAGTACTTCCAACGCGGAGAATAAGCATCCACAAAGGATCGGATAGGTACTGTAAGTATAATGCTATCCTCTGAAAAAAGAAAGCCAAGCTTAGTGTAGGATTACGATCTCCGACGGAAGTATTAGAAGTACATCGTCCCAAATATACAACTGATCCCAAAATACCAGGTTGTAAGTCCTTGTGATAACTATCCGGTAGTCATTAACAAGTCATTACGCTAGATCCTACTATCCATGCGGCAACCTGAGGCAGTCTTCACTGTGTCAACGTTGATCGGCGGCCAAGGCCACAGAGAGCTAGAGCGGCACGCATCACATCCTCATCTTCGGCTGCTTCTTTTGACTTACTCTCTTCACGAGTTAATTGTAGCGAGCCAAGCTTTCGAATGCTTGTATGCGCATTGCGTGGACGTTGCCCGAATTGTGAATCAGCACCGAAGCTGCTGTCAGGTGTGATAGCTTCCTCGCTATCGTCCTCTGTATCTTCGTCATCTCCGTGACTACTCTTCTTTCTGTTTGGACGATTTACGCTAACTCCTTTCTCTTTATCTGCGAGTCTGGCAGCGGCACATGCCCACTCCAATGTTCTTCTCCCACCTTTACCTTCACCCAGACCTAACCCAAACTCGACGAGTTCGCGGGCTGGTGGGCTGGCAGGCGGTGCAAGCGGAGATGAAGGCATATTGTCCCATAGGGTTGCATGTGGGTCGGGCGTGTGTGCTCGCGTGCGCGTAGGTGGAGGCCGAAGTTCAGAGCGAGTAGCGATACGATCAAGAGAGGGACGAGAGCGAGAAGGCGTTCGAAGCGGTGCGTGTGTACCCGATGGAGTGCTGAGAGTACGCGTATGACTGCGTAGATGATTGGGGCGGGGGGTTGTTTGCGAAAGTGAAGACCTGACAGGCGTTGAAGCTGATGGCGTGGAGTGTCCTACATTGCTGGTCCTGGATATACGCGTGGGGAACGGTGAGTGGTTGATAGTGTTTGATGAATTTGTTGCGTTATGAAGCGCGACTTTGCGCTCCGTCTGTCGTTTATTTTGGAACCAAATGGTTACTGATTTTATTTCCCTGTTACAGCCAATCAGCCTCCGCCATGTTGGACGAGAGAAACCATATAGAAGAGTAGGAGAAGAAAGGTAAAGAGGGTTGAAATAGATAATGCATACATTCCGGCAGCCTTCGCGACTTCTTCGCGTTCCTCTCGCGTCGGGTGCGAAGTTTGGTGGAACAACTGTTCGAGCATCATAAGCTGTACGTTGGAAAAGCGCTTCCGTGTACGACGCTCATTATTTGAGCCAAGATTACTGCTTCCATCCTCTGACGAAATACTAGCCGCTGAAGACGTTCTTGATAGCGAGGATGTCAGCGGGGGGGTGCGTGCTATGGGTTTTGTAAGGGTGTAGTGTAATGGTTGGTGGTCGCGTGGTGGGATATCGGCATGTAATGAATGATGAGTGTTAGATGGTAGGGACATAATTTCGAGTCGGGGGGAGTTTCACAAGCTGGTTGATGGGAGGCTCGACTATTTATGCTCGCCGCGCACAAGCAAACACTTGACGCGCTACGCGTTTCGCGTCGATCATGTGACCGTGGCGACTTCATTCGATGGACTGTTTCGTTTACACAAGTCACCACATCACTCTTACCACCACAGCTATCTTTTAGATGTTGTCCCTCGTGGTATGGGACTGTCTGGATGTTGGACCAGCAGGAAATGACTTGCTTTTGCTTACATTCATATGGACACTTTCATTTCTCCCATTGGTTCCCATATGTTTTACATTTTTTTTGCTATTTCCTTTTTGGTACTACTATCAAACTGTACTTCCAAAAGGAAGAAATACCATTTTTTGATCCTCCATATACTCAGAATTTGTCTGAATAAGTTGCCAGCTGTATAGCCATGTTTCCAACAAGTGCAGAGCATATTGACTCATATAGAACCAAAATGCGGACTCTCAGGAGTCATCCCATTGTTATATTCTCTATATTTATCCTCCACTCGTATTACCACTCACGCACTTGTTTTACCACCTTTCCAGCAAGACTGCAACTTGCTGTGACATATCCACTCAGTTTAGACTCAAAAGTGTAACAACCAAGTTTTTATTCTCTGGCGAGTGGACAAACCCCCTTAGATAGGACCAAGTTAGTTGATGGTATTCAACAGGAGGACTCACTGAGGAGTCTCCTTGAACTATTGGGGTTTATATACAGCTACAGATTATTTGTACACATGTACTATACAGTTGCTAAGGGTGGTGGCTGATAATGTCATAGGGTGCAGCCCTTGTGACCAGCTTCACCACATGAGAGAGTTGTACTATAAATAAAGGAGGCAGCACAGCATGAGAAAGTAAAAGGGTAAATGGAGTTTGAAAAAAAAAGGAAAATGCTGCTGTGACAACACCAACAAGACACAGTCTTGGGGCACTGGAGCACAATGAAAACAACACTCAAAAGAAGAGGAAGAGGTGGGAGTGGTTACCCATTTGGTAGGACTGAGTTAGTCGTTGGTAGACAACAGGAGGACTCGCTGAGTCCTTCCCCATATATTGCTCCTGTATATATACTAAAATACATGAGGTACTGTACAGTTGTAAATAAAGTTTAAGGTCCGATGTTTAGCATGTGACCAGTCACATGGTGAGCCTAGACACTGGTCAGGTGATGTGTCACATGATTGGTCATGTGACTATAAAAAGGTTGAAAATGTAAAGTAAAGTAACTGGTCACATGATCAGTCATGTGACTTGGAAAATAAAAAGTAAAAGTACAAAAAAGTGAAGCGTAAGTAGGTGCTGGTATGTCAATTGTAACAGCTGCGTGGCTCAAGTTGTGAGGCAATAATAAACTATAACAAAAACAATACCCATCTCCGACTGCACTTGCAGGGAGTAAGAGATACAATGAGCTTGAGGTCGACAGATGCTAGCGAATATAGCAAGTAGAGGACTTGGGAGTAAACTCAAGGGTTTCTGATGAGGAGTAAAGCAGGTAATTCAAGTAATAGAAAGCTAAAGAACTATACATGAGTGTGTAGGGTTTTTATAGCTAACCGTCTATCCCTCAGACCGAAAGAGGAATAAGAGAAAAATGGTCTGAGGGGAAACCGACCAATAAGAAAAAGGATAACTACCATACGACTTTGAAGATTAATCAGCAGGTGAGAAAGTATACTAATAATAAGTATTGTCACACATGTTCAGGAACTGTATCCTCATGATCCTGACTAAAGCGTCTATTAATATCTCCAGGTACTGATGGGGCTTGGAGCTGGTTGGCGAGATGCCTACCACTAGTCCTTACCCATTGTTCTGGCTGGCTGGGAGTGTTACCCAGTCTCTGATCTGCAATATGAAGTGGTAACAATGGTTGAGAAAGCCTGTGAGGGATGTGAGAAGCAAAATAGCAAATGATACCTCTAGCCCTAGAGCCAGAGGTGTGATGGGAAAAGTGTTTGAGAACCAAGACATGGAACGAAAAGATAAGAAAATAAGAAAATATAAATGATCCTTACACAAGTGTTAGAAAAGAGAAAGAAGGTTGAAGTGGAGATTGAAAGTATTAAGAGTCCAATAATTGTGTATCGTAACAAAAGGTGCAGACTCTGCAGACTCACTCCATTATAGTCTTCAGCACTTTCTTCTGAATCCCTTGGTTGAACAATGCATAGGTTTTTGAACATCAGGACTATACTCAGTTCTCTCCCAGACACCTTTTACATCTTACACCTTATCTACATTATGAGTTACTCCTTACAAACTTCACTCCCTCTGATTAGTATATAAGCTGTAACTCCTGTACTCCATTCCTGCAGTTCAAATATCAATAAGTTCCTCCACTTTTTTACCCAAGTCCTTTTTTAAGCTTTCCGGTCCTTCTCCAAAGGACTTTTACTCTACTCTACTGCTATCCTCCACTCTCCCCTTATTCACTCTATTGAGTTAGGGACCAAGGTCCACAGAAGGACCTAGCACACGAATTAAGCCAACTCCCAACCTTGTACTCCATTCTGCTCCCACAGTGCACCTCCGTCCCATGAATTCCGACAACTCTGAAGGTCACGGTTCTGAAACCAGCTCTGATAGCTGTGTATAGTCCATACCATTAGCGCCTGAATTAAGCAGTGCACTTGTTGGGTATACTGTGCCTCAGGCAAGGTTTTTCCACACCAATGTCCCAACAGATCTAAATATGTGCGCATCAACACACACCTTGGGATTTTGGTAGGAAGTGGCTGTCAGAACCCATGACCTTTGGAGTGATCGGAGTTTGGAGTATGGAGATGGAGTGAGGGGTGGAATAAAGTACAAGATTGGAAGTTGATTTAGCTTGTGTGCTAGGCCCTTCCGCGGATCATGGTTCCTAACTTGACAGAGTGAATGGGTGAAAGTAGAGGATAAAAGGTGGAGAGAAAGGAGTAAAGGTCCTTCAGAGAACAAAAACATGGTATCCTGGACTCCTGTTCCAATACTCCTGTACCGGACTTCTAGTCTGCCATATGCTTTCCTATGCATGTTCTTATACTCCTCATAGTGTAACAACCAAGAGTTATTTACTCTGGCGCACACAGGAACACACTATAAAGAAGATGATGGGGAGTGGTTACCCCTTAGGCTGCAGTGAGTTAGTTGTGCTAGACAACAGGAGGACTCGCTGAGTCCTTCCCCATGTATTGCTCTTGTATATATACTGAATACATGTTTGTTTGTACATATGTACTGTACAGTTGCTAGAAGCAGTGGCTGCTGATGTCATGGGGTCTAGCCCGTGTGACCAGCTCCACTGCGTGAGATACTTGTATCTAAAATAAGAATAAAGGCAGTGCCGCGCAAGAAAGGTGGAGTTTGAACTAAAAGGGGAAGTGTCACATGGCACAGTGTGAAAACTACAGTACAAGGTTAAAGCGGAGAATGAAAGTCAAAGGAAAGGTCCAAAAATGAAAAGTAAGGTAAATGGTCACATGACTGGTCATGTGACTTGGAAAAAGTAAAAGTAAAGTATGAAAAGTAAAGTGTAAGTAGGTGCTGGTATGTCAATTGTAACACATAGACTCTGTAGTTTAGACCTTATGATACATTCCCTGCACATACATTTTTCTTTCGCTAGATAATTGTCCGCATGGACTCCGTACCTACATTATGAGTTACTCCTTACAAGCTCCTAATCCTCTGACAGTATATAAGTTGTAGCTCCTGTACTCCATTCCTGCAGTTCAAATATCAACTAGATTCCCTTGCCTTTTTACAAGTCTCCTTCTAAGCTTTTCGGTGTCGATGATGTGAACTGCTGTTAGAAAACCACACACAAAAACAAACTAACACACAATCCTCCCAGATTCCACGGAACTTGTTTATGGGCTTTGCCTCCTAGAACGGTGGAGTGGTCTGGTTGTTCGTGGTGTGGTACGTATAAAGATCCTTCAAAGTAAAACCCAGAGGTGTATGAGTGTGGGTTTTGAGGAGGAGGGATAGTTGAATTTATAGAAGATAGGGGCTTAGTGACGAGTATAGATGAGCACTACCTTGCTAATTGTAGCACAAGGTAGGTTTGAGAATGATAATATGACGAGGTTCCCAGTGATAGCAGGCTCCTGACGCACAAACTGTAGTGCTCAGAAGGACTCTAATCGAAAGGGATGACAATGACTTCAAAAGTGGGAAGTGACGATGACAACAGTTGACAGTGGTAGCAGTGAGAAGTGTTGTGACCACACTGGATCACAAGCAGCAGAGTAGTGAACTTAAGATTAGAGAAGAAGTCTGGATTCGAGTTCTTGTTGTTTTTTTTACAAGGTAAAATACAGGGGTTTATATAGTAAAAGAAAAGTAGGCTATGCACAGTATAGCTGTGCAAAAAGAATGAGAAAGAACATGAAGGAAGGAATGTACACTGACAAATCCTGCGTAGGTAGTACAGGATAAGATTGTCAAAAAAAGGAAAAGAAAGGGATAGAACAATAAATGCTGTGAGTAATGTCACAGGTTTGTACAGCCATAAAGTAAAGTCCAATAGCAAAAAGAGAGCAGGAAAATCATGATGTCATGGGAAGATACAGTAAAAAAAGGGCAAGGCAAAACACTATCAGTATCAACACAGTTCCTTTATTGTCAGTCAGACATTCTAAAAAACTATGTGTCCATAAAAATGATTCAAAAATCAAAAATAATCGCACTGTAAGTGAATGTTCTGCTGAAAAAAAGAAACTGGAGCCACCGGTCCACCACCTAGTCCAAATCCGACAGTTCCATGGCCTTACCAATGGACTGGTTGTGTTGGACCACCTGATCAAACGAGGGAGGGAGAGGAGTAGTTCCAATTTGGAACAAGTGAATCCCAGGCAGCGTGTGGTAGGTGTAACTGTAGCGAAGACGATGGACAAAAGATAAGTGTACCCAAGTGAATGGGACAGTGATGAACATGGGCAACGCAAGGGGATGAACCTTCTCCAGCTCAAAAACTACCCACCCACACTCCAACCAGGCAAGACGAGCGACCGATGTTTTGATAGTATATGATGGTAGATCAATGTCATAAAGATGGACCTGTTGCCCTATTTGGACTGGCCGCTGGGGCTTTGCTGATATCAGCAGTGGCACGTGGTAGTCAATGGATTGGCGACGGAAGCGGATAGGAAGTGGTGACATCAGAAATGGTGGGGTGGCAAATAAGATGAGGAGGAGGAGGGTGGAGGTGACAAAAAAGTGGATTAGAATGGGGATCCAGAAACCACCGTCAGGTGAGAATAAAAAGGAGAGGAAGGGGCCCATGGTGGGGCTAGGCAAAGGAAGGGGGGGAAACGACAAAAGCGAGGGCGCAATGCAATGTGTAGCCAGTGGCGACGTGAAAATTTGCCAAAATGCCGAAAGTACCGAATGGAAAAGCAAAGGTGAGCGTGACTGGATTGCCTAATAGAGGTGGTGCTGATCAGCCACAAGTTCAAAACAGGCAATATTAATTACTATTCCATGTGGCACTGTGCCTGTGTGGCGCAAAGGCAAGTCTTTTTGAATATTTGCTTCGTTATTGACACCTGTCCATGCTACCAATCAACTTTGGTGCATGACAGCACAGCCCGTGTGACCAGCTCCACTGCGTGAGAGACTTGTATCTAAAATAGAAAGAAAGGCAGCGCAACGTGGGAAAGTGGAGTTCGAATAAAAGGGAAAGTGCTGCATGGCATGGAGTGTGAAAACTACAGTAAAAGATTGGTTTCAATACATTGTGTTTCTGCCAGGGCTCTTCCATTATAAAATGGCATGCACTGATGCAATCTGGCGGACGTACCTGCAGCCTGCAGACTCTTGAAGTGACCCAAATAGCTTGTATGAGCACATTGGGATGCTGCATCCTAAAGAGACAGGAAAGTTCATCAGCAAGCCTGGATTCAGGTGTATGCATGACATTGTGCACCATGACTTGACAGCATCAATGCTTAACTGCTGGCAACATGAGATTACCAAAAGAAATCCACAGTGCTCATCAATCGAGCTGTTTGCAACTACAAAACCCACATGGGAGGACATAGTTGACATGTCTGAAGCAATTGTGGCCAAGTATGTTGGGACCAGTCCTGATTTGCGTAAAGAACACAGCAAACCTTTCCATGAGCGTGACAAAGTGTATGAAAACCAACTCCTCCGCAATTGTGATGAGCTCATGTATGTTGATTTATGCCATGCCATGAATTCTGGAGATGTGGGTTGCATTGAGGCCTCGTTCTTGCCATGGATACATATCTTTGTTGCTGTTGGGAAGCATAAGTATGCAGCACAAATAAGCTGTTGAAAATGCATTCCACCTCCTCCACCATACAATCCGCCACCAACCACCAGATATGACCAAGACAATTAAAAAACTTACAAAGCGGCTTTTAGAGACTAAACCGCACAAGTTTACTGCTGGTTGTAAGTTGCAATTTTCTGTTGATGATAAGGTAGCAAGCGGCTTTGGGATTATACAAAAAAAAAGGATTAGGAGTATCTACATCCGGGGAGGGCGATAGTGAGAGTGTTAAAATAACTGGTGCTGACCTTGTAGACTGACTTATTTTACACTGTGGTATGCTCACCATTTTGTGCGGGCTTAATATTCTCGTCATTGGGATGATTCTGTGTCTTCCGGGGCTTTGATGGGATGGAGCCATACTTCGGGCAGAGGCGATTTGATGCTAAGAATATATGAGTACTTGTCAGCTGGTCACTGTGGTGGTACAATGCACAGATATGAGTGGTGCTCCCACAAGCTTTACACAACCTCTTCTTCTTAGTTGTTGATGCAGAGGCTATATCTTCAGCATTTGACAACGAAGGTAGCACCATTGTATTAAGTGGCTGTATGGTGAATAAAGGTCCTTGTACAGGAAGTGAAGGTGGTGGGTGGTGCGTTTGCACAAGCTCAATGATTTTTCTACCAAACTCATCAGCATAGCACCAATCTGTCTGCTCCTTCAGTTTAGCAACATCTGTTAATTTGCCATAGTGAGCAAGATCAACAATGCAGTCGAGGATTTTGTTGGCGATGACAAGTTGGGCCCCAAAAAAGTCGACACCTCCATAACCAGCATCAACCATCTGCTTCTCTCTCCAATCTTCAAGTGCATCTCGCAGGCATAAGTCGTTTGGGCCCGTTTGATAGTCCTTGGTTTTCATCTTGCGTTTAGCATGCGTTAACTGAGGCAGCGATAATGGGACAAACAGGATGCACAAGTCCTGGTTGCAAATATTGCAACAAAGCTGCAACAAACAACAGCTGCATCTCTCACACACACCTGCCGCCACCGTTCTCACTGTGTTCTTCACTGCAGGTAAGCTATTTTTCTTTGTTATAAAGTAACTGACACAACATACCATCAGGATTTGCAAAGTATTTGTCAACAACGCAGCGTCGGCACAAGCAAGAATTAATAAAGATATCCATCTCCACCATCTCGAGCTCTGCAACTGGAAGATTGGCCAGTAGGATTTTGGTCCTAGACTCGGAGCTGGATGCCAACTCAAGGTGAGAGAATCCACTTGAATGAATATGGCATGATGCCCTATG